GGTGATTCTGTATATTAATATGTGCCCATTAAGAATGGGACTAAACCCAAACTCTTTATGTAGGGTACTGAACAGCCATGAGATAATAATGATTTCTGGTCGCTAACAGCCTACACCTGATTTCAGCACACACCTACGCCATATCTCCATGACTAAAGACGTATGCCGGTATAACTACGTTGCTCAGGGTTGTGAGAAAAATCATGTGGATCGGGGTGTGGGTATGGACATGATTACCCCTCTTGCGGAGGTGGTTTAACTACACCAATGGGAGAAGCTCTTCCATCAGCATGATAGCATCTTCACTAAAGCGCTACAGGCAGGTGCAGTCCTATAGCACTGTACATGAAGACAGGCCCCTAGAAGTGAAAAGTTCTATATACCATTGCCATTTCCCTGAGATTGATCATTAGATCAATTACCACTTCAGTTCAAAGAGCATTACTGTTACCATTCAGTTCACTGACAGGTTATGGGTGAGAGAAGTTTAGTTGAGAATTAAGTGCAGATGATCATATTTAAATAAATGCACATAAGTTTGACTATGCCTTCAACTGTTTATTTGAATATTTTCATATATATGGGAATTAAATATTTTTCTATCATGTTCAATTATCCAAATATGCATCCGAAGAAGTGAGGTTTTTACTCACGAAAGCTTATGCCCAAATAAATCTGTTAGTCTTTAAGGTGCCACCAGACTCCTTGTTGTTTTTATCCAAATATAGAAACTCGTACACTTTTATTAGAACAATAATGCATTAGACTACTTTCACTCACTTATTGCTCCTATATTTTTCTCAGATAATCCCCTCCTCACTTTAATAAAGCACACATACCTAATTGAGAACAACTATGCCAAATTTTAAACTTTTAAATAAAAGCATTGGAACCATCAGAGTCGGAAGAGGTCTTACATATTTTTCTAAACCTTGAAACCACTATCATTTTCTGGTGCTCAGATAAGTCATTTTCTTCAAAACAACTCACCTTTGGGCTAGAATCAACTGTGACAAACTTCGGCCCCCCAAAGTTAAAAATAGAGACTTTGAATCAAAGTACCTCTTGACTCATCAGCATAGTGTCACTACAGTGGTACCTGTAGACAAGTTTCTCATCCCATGTGAACTGTTGAGAGTTCCTACCCAGTATCCAGCAATGCATCTTTATCTTAAGTAATATTATCACAAGATGGTAATTTCCCAGTGATGTTCTCCTTTTTTCCCGCCATGAACTCTTTCAGGCACTTGCCTTATGCATGAGATTACCATACCCCTTCTTTAGTGCAGATTACTCTTTAGCAATGTTTGTTGTGAATTGCCTAATGCATCTACTAATGCAGCTGGAATAATAGATGGGTGTGGGAAATTCCCTGTGGCTGTTGGTCCCATACAACATCTAGTATAAAGAACAGGAGTACTTGTGGCACCTTAGAGACTAACAAATTTATTAGAGCATAAGCTTTCATGGGCTACAGCCCAGTTCTTCGGATACTTGTGGCACCTTAGAGACTAACAAATTTATTAGAGCATAAGCTTTCGATGCATCCGAAGAAGTGGGCTGTAGCTCTAATAAATGTTAGTCTCTAAGGTGCCACAAGTTCTCCTGTTCTTTTTGCGGATATAGACTAACACGGCTGCTACTCTGAAACATCTAGTATAGTCAGTTTTAGTTTCAGTGTAAAATTTTGTTTTATTTATGGTATTAGCCATCCCAAATCAAACAATGTAGCCCCAGATTAAAAGAAAATAGTTAGCCTACAGCTCCTCATGATGTTTTATTAGACAAGATAAAACTATATATACAAATTAAGAAAATACCAAACGTTATTCTAGGGATTTAAAAGGGCTATAAATACCAAGACACTGTTTAGAATGATTATAGCTTCAGGAAACTTCAAATGCAGTGGGATTCATTACTATAGTGTAAATAAATCCTATAACTTCATAATTATTTTTGTTAAAAATAAAGAATTATCAATAAAAGTAAGGCAGTGCTAAAGTTATGTGAAACATAAGTACCTCTGAGACAAACTGAGTGATGTCTCTCAAAATGAATTATGTACATTCAATAGATGCTCTTGCCATAAGGGACTTGCAATCTAAGACCCTGCTCCTCCAAACCCTTATGTGCAATGTCTCAGACCATCCATGAGCTTTTCTTTATGAGAATATCCCATACTCTGACTCGTAAAATATTATCAGAGGGTTCATTTCTCTTCCAAAATTCCACCTGAGCACAACTTGATGCTATCAGTTGTTGAAACAATTTTGTATTATAAAGAGAATATTATAGCTCTTTTAATCCAGGAGAGACAGACACACTATGCATAGATCAATGGGTAATTTTGCTTTTATATGATATTACGTTTAAAGAGTTACTTCTTAAGGTTTCTAAATCTTCAAGATAGAAGATCTAGCATAATCAGACTAAAGCTCATTTAACCATTGTTCCTTGTGTTCTGGGCAGTACTCGTCAATGTTAGGAATTCCCTACTTATTTAGTTTTCAGATGAAATTTAGAACCTAATAAGTACCTAACAGTACTAGTCAGCAGCTGTTTTCAGTTGGAGAAGATTGAAAATTTCGACCTCTTATGACAGCAAGTGCGTAGACTCTAAAGAGATATTTTGTAATTTGGTGAATGCAACTTGTCAGTGATGAAAAATCTCAAAGTTAGTATGATACTAGTTTAGAAACATCAGTTTTAAGTATAATTAAAATTTGGTTAGAATACTTCTATGTGGTATATACTGGTTGTAAGTTATTATGCAATCACTTACAGCTTAGGGGTAATAAACGTTATGGTTAAAAGGAAATACCAACACAGCATTACTTATATAATACTCTTACTTCCCTAAACTTAAAACAGCTCTGAAAACAAAACAAAAATTCAATTTTTAAACCATTTCTAGCTTTAAAATTGTTGAGGGGGGGGGGGTTTCCTCCCAACATTTATATTTAATTTTCCAAACGGAGACAAATTTAACAAAAAATGCAGCTGCCAGGGATTACCTATTAGAACATGTTTAGACCAAAGTAGATTACAGGAACCTCAGACAAATATGTAGAGTAATTTAACACCATACAGAGCAATAGCTTGAAAGAGGAGAAAGGAAATTTCATGCCAACAATTTATCCAGTCATGCAGAATCATCTATGCATGCAAGTAGCTCAGTAATGAGGATAATGAGGCAAGCCTCTAAATTATATACACTGTGTCAGAGAATTTGGTGAACAGTGTTTGACTAGCATGGTAGAGCATATACCTGTTCCTCTGTAGTCTCAAATATTTTCTATCATGACAATGTCCTGCACTTTACTATCCACTAACATGGGCAACCTTTAGGCAAATAGAGAATAGCAGCATTAGGAAGGAGCCTTCCCATTTTAATCCCAAAGGAACAGTGCCATATGACTGGGCAATCACAGAGAGATTGTGCACATACCTCAGTCAAGTTTCTTGGTATTCAGTATGAAGCCCAGTCCAAGTCACTGATTATTCTCCAGAGAGTCAATGAGTCACTGCACTTTGACATTCAGAATCCTTCACATGGTACGGAAAGCAGGAGACGTTATCTACTGATTCCCCAACAAGCTAAGAGTACTGACTACTGAAACATACTGTGTAAGTGCTATTTATTCTGGTAGTTAGTCACCAGACAATGACAAAGCTGTAAAACATGCCATGGGCCTTTGCTGACATTTGGCAATTACTTCTTCAGGGCCCAATCCTGCAATACATACAATACGTGGAGGTCAGTGGGACTACTCATGTGCCTAGAGACATCGCTCCTAAGTGAAGATACTTATTTAAAGAAGTCCAATGCTTAGATATTCTAGATACCAGATTTCAGCATAGAGCAGGGATCAGCAACCTATGGCACACGTGCCAAAGGCGGCACGCGGTGGCGGGCTGAGTGGCTCAGCCCACTGCCGCTCTGGGGTTCCGTTTGCTGCCCTGTTGCCAGCCGGGGTCCCAGCCACCGGCCCCACTCAGTGCCCACTGCTGGCCTGGGGACCCCCAAGGAACCCCAGGCTGGCAGTGGGCTGAGCAGGCCGGCGGCTGAGACCCCAGCTGGCAGGAGCCGGCGGCCAGAACCCCAGAGCGATGGCGGGCTGAGCGGGGCCAGCAGGGGGCTCAGTGGCTCAGTCCGCTGCCAGTCTGGGATGCCTGCAGCACTCAGCCTGCTGCCGGTCTGGGGTTCCGGCTACCGGCCCTACTCAGCCCGCTGCCGGTCTGGGTGAATGGAACCCCAAGCTGGCAGCGGGCTGAGTAGTGCCAGCGGCCGGGACCTCAGACCGGCAGCAGACTGAGCCGCTCAGCCCGCTGCCAGTCTGAAGTTCCGGCCACCGGCCCCGCTCAGCCCACTGCTAGTCTGAGGTCCTGACCACCAGCCCCACTCAGCCTGCTCAGCCCAGACCGGCAGTGAGCTGAGCAGGGTCTGGGATCCTTGTCTGGGATTCCAGCCACCAGCCCCGCTCAGCCCACTGCCGGTCTGGGGTTCTGGCCGCCAGCTCCTGCCAGCCGGGATCCTGGCTGCCCGTACCCCGTAACCCCCTTCCAGCCTGGGCTTCTGCTCACCCAGGATAGCAGGAGGCTGAGCAGGGCCGGCGGCTGGGACCCCGACTGGCAAGGGGCCGGCAGCCGGAACCCCAAACCGGCAGCAGGCAGAGTGCTGCCGGCTCCCCTGACTGGCAGCGGACTGAGCCACTCAGCCCCCTGCCGGCCCCGCTCAGCCCGCTGCCGGCTGAGTGAATGGAACCCCAAGCCGGCAGCGGGCTGGGCAGGGCCAGCGGCTGGACCCCAGACCGGCAGCGGGCTGAGTGGGGCTGGTGGCTGGAACCCCAGACAAAGATCCCAGGCAAGGATCACACTAAATTGATAAGATCTGCATTTGAATTTTATTTTAAATAAAGCTTCTTAAATATTTTAAAAACCTTATTTACTTTAAATACAACAATAGTTTATTTATATAATATAGACATAGAGACCTTCTACAAACGTTAAAATGTATTACTGGTACAGGAAACCTTAAATTACAGTGAACTTGGCACACCACTTCTGAAAGGTTGCCGACCCCTGGCGTAGAGTGAACAGTGAACTGTTCCAGCCATGAATACAAACCCCTGGAATTGGGCTGCCAGTGGGATGGAGACAGTGTCTCACTCCACAGCACTAGATGACAGGACCACAGTTAAAAAGGCTCATCACTGTGTGCTAGAATTCTGTGATTGCAAATCAGTGGAATAAATTTAATGGTTCAGTGGGGTAGTATTGTAGAGCTGGGCTTGGAAAGATATTTTAGATTTTATCAACATTCATGGGTAACATGCATGTTTGTTTGCAGTATGGCAAATCTGAGATGGGCAAAAGAATCCAGTTATACAAATATCTTGAAGCCGTTTTTCCATGGCTCTCCAATACTCCTCTAAGATATGACTCTTGAGTAAGTCCTATTGTGATTTCTAATTCATACACCCCTTCAGTCCTGCTATGTTAACTGTAGCCCTGGCAGCTTTGTGATGATTGGGCTACATCCATCACTGAATTCAAAAGTCACATGCTTTAAGGCTTACATGATTTACAGTACAATACTTACATCAGAGCATTGGAGATTTTAACTCAGTGGGAGCCAGGGACTATCAGAGGCTGCCAGAGCTGCTGGGTTCTGCAATCAGTTCTTTCAAAATATAGAGGATACAGGTGTGTCTGGGATGTTTATGATGGAGGAAGAAGCAGGTCTGTTGGGAAAGTCATGGGGAGGAAGGAAGATGGCGCAGGTGGGGTTAGGAGCTGGCAGTGCCTCATCCAACAGGAGCAGAACCACAGGTAAGGTTTGGGGTCAGTTTGTTTTGGGGGGATAGCCAAAGATTCAGGACAGTTCTGAACTTCTTTGCCTAAGACCCCATTTAAACATAGGGCTTGACTGTGAATTTCTATTTGTCCTAGGCAGTTCCTTTTTTTGGCCGTTTCAGTTCAGTGTTAATGGTTGTGTGTAAAATAATTCTACATATAGGCAGGTCATAAACCTCAGGAAAACAGGGTTTATAATAGAAGGGCCATGGTGCAGAGATCTGTTCTGTGGTACAGTATTTACATGGCCTAACATTTCCCATTAACACTCTTGTTTATGGAAGACCCACCTGTTCTGGCTCTCAGTTGGCACCTAGGACGTCAGCAGAACTGTTGATCAGGACAAACTAGTGCTTCTAATGCCATTAAGCAGAACAATTTAGAGTGTAGCAGTGCGGTGTTTTTAAGCAGTGGTATCTCTGCTCTCTCATGGAACAAGTTATTTTAATTAAAGTAGTCCTAGTGGCACAGGAGCTATTGAAAGAAAACATGTCACTAGTTATAACTTTCAAACAAACTGACATTTGATTGGATCTATACAACGGAGGTATTTCCAAAACAAACAAAATATGCTGGCATTGAAGTACTTTTATGCTACATCAGATAAGTTTGTTTAATTAAGACACACTTAAACCTTGACGTTTGCTTTGACACATTTAGATATTTTAATCTTTTTTCTATCTCCCATGGTCACAGTCTCTCACTTAATCTTGTTTTAGAGACGAAGGATGGTTTTGTGGTTAAGGTGCTGGAGAACTAGGCTGTAAACCTGACTCTGCCATGGAATTTATCTATATAGAATCTTGAGCAAGTCACTGGATCAATCTGTACGCTATTATCCTTCTGTAAATTGGGAAAAATAATAATTCTTGTCTTCTCTATGTAGATTGTAATCTCTTTGGGACAGCAACTGTCTTTTATTAAGTGTTTATTATTTAGTGCTACTGTAACACAATTTTTAAAAAATATAATGTAACATCATGTTAATGCCATGAGCAGCAGTTAAACTCTTCCTGATCATGTGCCAATAGCTGATGAAATGTTATAGGAAACATGACTGACAGAGACAGCTTGGTTACCCTGCATGGGGTTAAATTTGACATTTGGAAGAAAAATCAGTTTCAGCAGCAAGCCAGATCAAGACATGCCTTCCATAGCTAGTGCTGCCCACTGGGTACTAATTATGTCATTGATATGGCATGACTGTTCTGCTGTAGAGTATGATAGCTACATGTCACCAGGCTGTGTTTCTCCCCAGCTCAAAAGCATGTGCTGCCACACCCAGTCATTTGCAAGGAGATTTATTAACTTACAGAGGCTAACAAACAAACAGGAAAAAAAAAGTCTAAACTTAGCAAAACAAACAAACAAAAAATCTCAGCTTAGCCTCAGGGCTACCTCTCCCAAGGGTTTCTAGCACACCTGTTCCTGGTAACATCCCAGTTTCCATCAGCTCTGTTCCCACCCTGAAGCAGCCACCCCAGTGCTACTTCTTTGAGCCCCTTGCTCTAGGGACCCACCACAGGCATTAGCTCTGCTCCAGTGTGGCTTTCCCTCCCAATTAGCAGCCCTTTATAGGCCCTCTGTAGGTACCCCCACCCCCTTTAATTGGCTAGATTGGGCTCACCTGCTCTGGTCCAGGGGCAATGGCTCCAGCCTCCCTGTGACACTGCCCCTTGTTTGAACTTCTGATGAACAAGTCATTCAGAGTGGCCTATTGACATCAAGGCTACCAAGCTTCTCCTCCTCCTCCTCATTTGGTGAGGGGTGGAGAAGGGCTGCAAAGAACAGATGCCTAGCGAAGTCATCACATATATCAGCCAACTTGCCTTAATTGTCCCAATGGGGTACACTTATTTATAGGAAGCTCACCTTGACATATGTTACGTTTCACTATAGTTCTCCTCCCTTACCCCTTATCCATGCTTTACTTAAATCATAATTCATTACCTAAATCTGCTTCACAAAATATGGGAACTTCATAAAGACCAGTAACATCATCTACCAAATAACTAGTAGCAGGAATCCAAAATAATTCCTACTTCATAAAGCAAGTGCAAGCAGTACACAGAAATATATAGAACCTTTGCAGGGTTTGAAAGAAAAAAATACTTATTCCAGAATACTAAAAGGTATTTGATATTTAGGAAGTTTCCACAGTTACACTGATGGCACTTTAAATTGTTTATGTCACTGCTGGACCGAAAGGAGCAAATTATCTGGATAGGTTAAACTACTAGTCTGCTTACAATTACAGATGAACTGGTAGTCATGGTGGGAAAATTTTCAAAGATGTTCCTAGAAGACAAGGGCTAAGGGTTGTGTAACTGCTGTATTCAGCCCAAGAACCCCCAAGAAAGTTGTTTTTGAGTCAGGTAGAATTTCTCCTGAGGACTCCAATTGCCAAACAACCCTCAGACCCCCCCTCCAACGCAGTTGAGGGCAAAATCAAGACCATAATTTGGCCCTACTGCCTATGAAGGTGGAGTCTCATCCCTAAGATGACTTTCCTTCCTATATTTCTAAGTTAAAACACTAGAAACTTCAGGAGTCTTATAAAATCTGTAAGTGCAGTTTGCATAATTGTCTTTCCACCCTCAGCCATGGCTGACATTGCCAAGAGTTCAGAACAGTTCTGCTGAATGCTGCTGTACCTGTTCCTGTTTCCATGGAAATGGACATTGGCTAAAGTAAGATAAAAGCTTTAAAGTAATTATCAATACAATTAACATTTTTACCTCGTAGGAATATTTTTTTTCAGCTAACCAGTGTGACCAGCCAATTCAGACTCATCAATACAGCAATTAGTGTCTAAAGAGGCATCAGTTAATCTGATCAATGTGAAAATGACACAAGAAAGAAAAGAATTGTTAGAACTGGAACAGCAGAACCCTGTGGCTTTCTTTTCCCTACTTATTACTAATAAGAAGCTCTTCTCCTTTGCTATGATGATTCACTGTTTCAATTTCACCCTTGATTTATGCAGTGTCAAGAGAAAGGGGGCTAGAATCAAGGATATTCCATTATCCCCCCAATGGCTCAATAAAGTTTGGAGAAGGAACTAAAAAAGGAAAAAATATTTTTCAAGCAACAGTATTTTGCTTATGTTGTAATTGGCTGATATATTTCATTTATCAGACTAAATCCTATCCATAATAGCATCATACAGTGATTCAATATTAATATCTATATTTTGAGTGTATCATTGACACATGCAAGAAATACATTAATTAGTAATGTCACTCATTAAAATCAGTAGTATCAGTTTATACAATTGTGACTTTTCAAAAGATGTTAAAGATCTCTGCTTCCCCAACCTTCCACTGAGGTGACTTTACATTTTAGTTTTAATTCTCCATAGTGACACAGATGTCTTAAGCTCCTGCCCAAGAGAAGACAGGAAGGTTTTGTTTCAGAATACGAAATGCTAAAGTGTAGCCCAAGGGTCAGCAACCTTTCAGAAGCGTGTGCCGAGTCTTCATTTATTCACTCTAAGGTTTCACGTGCCAGTAATACATTTTAACGTTTTTAGAAGGTCTCTTTCTATAAGTCTATAACATATAACTAAACTATTGTTGTATGTAAAGTAAATAAGGTTTTAAAAATGTTTAAGAAGCTTCTTTTAAAATTAAATTAAAATGCAGAGCCCCCCGGACTGGTGGCCAGGACCCGGCAGTGTGAGTGCCACTGAAAATCAGCTCGCGTGCCGCTTTCGGCACGCGTGCCAGAGGTAGCCTACCCCTGGTGTAGCCTATTCTTTTAAGGATATGATAATTAAAATTAGAAATACTAAGAGTCATATCCAGTCTGATTTCAGCTAAAAAAACCAACCAAACAAACAAACAAAAAAACCCACCCATAACAACAACCACCACAAAGAAAGCAGCCAATACTCCATTTTATCAACAGAAATTCTGGACCTTTTTTCTCTTTGGGATTTAACTTTTCAAAAGGAAAGTTGTCATGGACACATCCCATCTGCTTAAAATACAAAGTCAAAAGTCAATAGACAACATTAATTCACTTTTAAAGTGGAGTTCACATGCATTGATTGGCAAGGTGTTTTTGTCTGCATAATAATAGTTGTTACTTATAACAACATTAAAATATTGTGGAGACAACTCTGAAAGGCTGTTGCTATAGTTATTTAGCAGAATGGAAATGATATTTCATAAATCAGGATAAGATAATGTCCAAAACTGGGCATAGCAATTACAATCTCTAGTCATATACTGCACCACACTCCTGAATAGCTATTTCTTAACTAACCCACAGACATTTCTTTCCTCCACTTTATACAAGCATGGCTACTCACTCGGGGCTGCATGGGACCTTATAAACGTTGGCCTGCATTGGGAGCAGTGGCAGGGTAGAGCTACTGGTGGAAGTCTTCCTGGAGCTCCTCATCACACTCCTATGTCCGTTTGCGACAGCATACTCTTCCCTGTACTCCAGGTGACAGCTGTACTGGTCACTGATTAGGTGGTGGAGCATGGGCTCCCTCTTCCCTGTTCCCTTTGGGGTATCTTGCGCCCTAGAAGATTCAAGGGAGGGATGGCATGGAATGACATTGTCCCTTGCCTGGCCACTGCAGAGTGGTGCAAAGGCTGGAAGAAACCTTCTTGCCTCTTCCTGTCAAGCACTTCTGGAGCAGCCAGGCAGAATCTGGACCTCCACAGACACTTGATGGAGTGTTACTATGACAATATTTAGCTAATAAAGTATCTATCTTTTTTTTTCATGCAGTGGGATTTCCAGGACCCTTTGGGATGGCAAGTTTGTCTGCGTGAGCCCATTTTACTCATTATTATTCCCTTTAGCAAGGCATTTGTCAACATCAGGATGATGTGGTCTGTCCCTAGGGATCCACCAATGTTAAGTAATCTCAGAGGAAGTGTGAGGGGATGAGCTAAGCATTTCCATTAAGGGCAAAAGAACTCTGCGGGAACACAGCTCTGCTTTCTGGATTAAGACATATCTAACGGGCTGGACAGTGTCATTCCAACAGCAAACCCTTTGTATGGACTCAAGACATTAGCATATTTTCATGCCAAATTTCAGAAAAGACAGAAATTTTTGTTCACACAGTGACACTAAGAGCCCGGCTTATGCCAATTATACATTTTTAAAAACATGTTGGGGCCCTTCCTATGGGGGAGGAGAGGAAAGAGAGTAGAGAGTCTCCTCCCACTCCTTTGAGCCACTGTGAGGTCTGGAAAAAATGCTGCCCTAATGTTCCCCAACCAAACTTGGGGGACTAGCTAATGTGTCCATTAGCGCTCTATGCCCCAAATGGGGACTCACCAGGAAAGGTGTGGGAGTGACAGCATCCAGCAGCAGGAGGAAATTGTCATGCTGCATCTTTCAAAAGGGGGTGTAGTGAATGCTGGAGATTGCCTTTTGCTTCAACAATCATAAAACTTTAAACAAGCTCAAAAGGGCTATTCCTGGCTTCAAGTGCCTCTTGAAGTTTCCACTCTCAACCCCCCCCCCCCGCCCATCTCCCCCCACTGAATAGCTCTCATTTCCCAGAGAAGTTTTACCAAGGTAGCCAGTAACAACTTTATCTTTGATCCACAAGACATATGGATAAACTCTTTTGTCCTATTACATCACTAATATATGTGTATATTTGACTGTCTAATGTATAATTTGTACATGTCAGTGTTGGAAGAGTTTGTCCATATGTCTTGTGGGTCTGAGTTACAGCTGGTCAAAATTTCTTGACACACACAACTTTGACAAAATTTTCCATTGCCATTTTGAATTTAAATCACAACAAAACATACTTAAGATTTTGCTGTGTTTGTGAAAGTTTCATCTAATTTTTTCATAGATTCATAAATTCTAGGACTGGAAGGGACCTCGAGAGGTCATCGAGTCCAGTCCCCTGCCCGCATGGCAGGACCAAATACCATCTAGACCATCCCTGATAGACATTTATCTAACCTACTCTTAAATATCTCAAGAGATGGAGATTCCACAACCTCCCTAGGCAATTTATTCCAGTGTTTAACCACCCTG